GCCAGGTCTACATTAGAAACTTTTGCCAGTGTAATGTTGGTTATGGATGTGATTTTTTTTTTTTTTTTTTTTTTTAATAAGAGATTTCTGTACCTGCAAAAGCCCTAGGGTAGATGCAGTTATACTGGTATAAAAATGCTTTTGCTGGTGTTAATTATAATGCCTACTTCTTATATAGCATTTTTTAATATAGCTTATTTTGCTTGGGAAACTGGTACAAGCCCTACTGGCAAAAAAGTGCATTCGACTGGATCAGCTGCCAAGGGTTTGCCAGCATCGCTGTACTGACAAATCTTTTCTAGGGTGGACCTGGCCATATAGCAGAACAAAACCAAAGAGAGTGAAGCAGTGAGGCAATGAGGGATGATTGGGTAATGATAAATATAAAACCCTTGTTCCCAAGGAAAGGAAATTAGGAGTACCAATAGGGCAGAGGGAGGAAGATAATGTAATCGTGACCTTGAACTGGGTTTATTTTTATCTTGTCCCTTTTAATGATCTCATTACTTCATGTAACAAGCACCATAGTTGCTCCTGGGAAAGTGTAGGCTGGAAGGTGAGGTGTTCCTTCCTTCATAATATAAAACCACTAAACTGGTGTATGTTAAAGTGCTTTCAATTTTTAAGTCTGTTCAAAAAGAATTCTTCACAGAACAATGGCGCAGTCTGTTATCTGTTCCTTTGCATTGTAAAGCACTGAATGTGCAGCCAATCGGAGACTCCGACTGGCTGAACATTCTTAACCTTGATTTTGAATGGAAGGTACCTCGTGCTGCTGACATAACTGAGTCCTTGTTGTAAGTCATTGTTCCAAGCAGTTGACTGTTGCATTTTACTCTGGGGGGTGGCAAAGTAAAAGTTTTTTGTTTAAAACTGATTTTTCTGGACCTCTGCTAAGTGTGTCTGTAGCTTCTACCTACTGGAAGAGAGTGCTTTATTCATAGAAGAAACTGATTCATTTTCCTTTAGTTAGGTCACTGGTGCAATATCAGCTGTGCTCATGAGGCACCCTCTGATTCATAGCAGAAATAGGATTGGGTGTGGAGCACTTACAAGCTTGTATTAGTAGATTATGCCATTATGTGTAATAATATTTTTTTTTTAAATAATCAAAACTAGCTGTCTCATTGACCACTCCTGGCTGGTTTGGAATTAGGCCTGTGTGTTGTAGAGGGAGAGTACTCGTGCTCAACACTCTCTCTTTTTATCATTGAAACAATGGCAAAAATAATCAAACTGCTGTAGCAACCAAGTCCACTTCCTAAAATATAAAATTTTATCTTAATATACAATATTCATTTGGACACCTCCATGAAATCTAATTCAATAGCCTCTTTTCCCTTCACAAAAGCCCGTTATTTAACACTGCATTTCCCCACCCCACCCTTAAAGATTTTAAGCTTCACCTTGTTGCGCTCTCCTTTGTTTCTACAAAATCTGGTTAACTTGTGCTGTCTCTGTTTATTGTAGGGTTACATTCCCGCAATTTTGTCCCTCTATTGGTATGGTTCATTATGTCCTCGGTGTCGATGGTGGCATGTGACCTCTTGCTGTTCTCTCCTACTTATGCTGCTTTATCAATAGGGAAATGTAACTTGTTCCCTTCCATCCACCCACTACATTCCAAATCCCCAATATATCAAATGAAGGAAGCTTTAAAAAACTGAATGAATGAATTTCTTGCTTTATCTAATGCAGACTTGCAGAAGGGAATACCTGGATTCTTTCTGCAGTGTATAGCTACAGGAAAAAAGGACTGCAGAAATATCAGAGGTGTATCTGAGCCCACGTCTACACTAGGAACTTAGGTCAGGATAACTACGTCTCTCGGTGTATTCCCCAGTGTAGACAGCTCTATGTCGTTAGGAGAATTCTCCTATCAACACGGTGTTCCACCTCCCCAAGAGGCGGTAGCTTATTCCAATGGGAGAAGCCCTCCTGTCGGCATAGTGTCCTCACTGAAGTGCTACAGCAGCACAGCTGCAGCGTTCTATGTGTAGACCTGCCCCGACCCTGAATAGACTTCAGCAAACTTCCCATCTCAAAAGAGCTTTTTGGTGTAACACACTTAAAAGCAATAGACCGTGATCTGAAGTTGTGAGGTGGGGGAAGGAAATGGGACTAGCACAGAAGCAATGTGGTCAGCATTTCAGTACACATCAGGTGCTAGGGCACCGGGGAGAGAGGCTGCTGCCTTCTCCTCCTGGCTTTACTGCAGCAGGCTTTTCCCTAGCTGGAAATACAAAGAAAGGTGTGGGGTGACTCAAGGCTTTTCTCCCTATCCCACACAAGGGCTTGTTAGACATTTCTGATAAAACAGCTCTGCATCTCTCTTGGGTCTCACAGGCAGCACAAGGGATGGGCAGCCTGCCCTATGCTGCCAGGTGCTTCCTGGCTTTGTGCAAGTCTCCAGGCAGTGAAAAGGTCTTTTCCCATCCTCCGCCAGGATCCTGGTAATTCCCCTCCCCTTGTGCTCCTGTTCTTCTGTTACATTACTTGTAAAACACTCCTTTGCAAAGTCTGGGAAAGAGAGTGCCTGAGCATTCCCCTCCACAGTGCACGAGTGATGTCAGCAGGCTAGTTCATGAGACAGGAAGTTCAATTAAATGGTTTTGTTCCACTACAGAAAGCAGAGTCAGATAGATACACAAAGCCAACTGAAAGTAGATATCCCCTCCCCCCCAGTTATACTGCTCTTGTGTGTTACTTGTAGTAATAATAGGTACAAAATTTTAAGATGGATATGGGATTATTTTCCCTCTGCCCCGATTCCCCTCTCCCCCTGCAAAAAAAAAGAGATGATTCTCTCTTTAAGATCAGGTCCAGACTGTGAACATGGAAGCCCACTATGTTCCCATGTTGTGGAATGATGTATTTTTGTTTAGTGTATCAGAGATGCATCCCTTTCCTTTATTCGAAGCTAACTTCATTGTGGCAGAGTGGTTTTGTAACATTGCTAGTATTTCAAGATTGAGATCACTGTGTGGAGATAATACCTTTATACTGTAAAATGTGTGCTAATTACTGAAAATAGACTTGTCTAGGGACACAAAACAGAGGGGCAAAAACCCATCAAATGTCTTCTGACTAGGATTTCTATGACTTGGTTAAGTGTTACCAGGAGTCTGAGTGCAGCTGTAACATTGTACAGAGTGCATACCTTCCAGAGAGCTACAGCAACCGGGATTCCCCCCTCCTCCTCTTCAGAGCCTGCTTCTGAAAGAGCTGGCTCATCCCTGCTGTCAGATGAAGCAGTTTCCTGAATGCATGGGTTTGAGTCACTTTAGCTAGATTAAGCTTTAACTCCTCCCTAGCTGGGCTTGAATTTGTACATAGCTATGGGAAAGGAAAGGGGGAGGGGAGCAGCGAGGGAAGTGGTGGGTAGCTGTCAGACCTTAGGTTCATGGAAATACTGTACCTAATCAATAATCTAGCGCCAGCTCTAACCTGTAGCACAAGAGTGAGCTGTTAAGATGAGCCACTCATATTCCACTTGCTAAATCAACAGTCTGTTATAATGAGAACTCAGACCACTAAGCGAGCATTTAGCTAAAGGAGTAGGGGGAGGGGATAAGCCGGCTAGGAAGAAGGAAGAGGTAGCAGTAGCAAGCAGACTAGAAGTTCAAGTGCTTAAGTTGCATGTAGATGACATCAGCTGCTGTGAGACTGGGCTATTGAGAGATTTGGCAAAGAAATCAGAATTCAGGGGACATGCCTGCTTTTGGCTCTGGGATTTCTGTGTTCTTTTCCTTTGAACTTTTTAAGATCAGAGGGGTTTTAAACATTTGTGGGTGTTCATAAAAAGATTTCCTTTGAAATTTTTTTCTTACTGGGGGGGAATAATTTGGAAGTCTGATAGTGTGTGGGAAATGATTACATCAGTCACAGGGAGGGCTAGGATTGGTCTACACAGTGTGGTTTGATTCACTACCTAAAAGATTGTATGTAACCCTTTGAGTGGAGCTCTGGAAGAGTTGTCTGCTTCCCCAGAAACAGTACCCAGAACAGGGGCTACGTGACAGGTACAGTACAGTAATCCACTGACACTACAGAACACCCCGAGTGTGCAGCTTAGTCTGCAAAGGGTTGGAAGAGGCAGAGAACAAACTCTTTCAAGAGGCAATCTATATTTAAAATGCCATCTTGTTCTTCTGACTGCTGCCTTTTACGTGCTGTTGAGGTAAGATTTTCCATATCAAATTACCCACAAGGTTTCTGCTAGATCAATGTCCTCTCTTGCTAGGATGCAGAATGTTTTAATTTGGGATTAAAATAAATCTTGGTACTCTAAATTTGATTATATGGGGAAACAATTTTGCAGTAAGTGTATTGTTTGAGCAGAACAATGCTAACGGGAAAGCATCTGTATAATTCAGGGGTTGGGGGGAGGTTTCTGACACGTTCTCTTTAGCTCCATTAATGTTTCGAATGTACAGTGTATGCACATTTGATTTCAAACTCCTTAAATCTAAGATGAAAGATAATTCAGGGGGAACAGAGAAATGTGTGGACAATGCTAGGTAATTCATATGTGGATAAACTGCAAGTGGAAGTTAGAAAGGCGAAACAATCAAAAGTTAGTCCTGAGCAAGGGAGCCATTTTTAATTTTTAGAATTCAACGTAATTTGATGTAAATGTTCAAATTCAGTAGACCCCAAACTAGTTTTTTTTTCTATTCGTTTTTTACCAAACGTTCCAGTACATTGGTATTATTTCATTTATGCTTGTTGTCTACTGCTGCGTAAGGAATCTCTGCTCTCTCTCCCCTTCTAGATACATGTTCATATTAATGCTGCCCAATGTTCCTTTAGGACCAGGGTGGGAGGGGGAGGTAAAGGGGATGAGGAGAAAGTAATATAAAGTAAATCATGTGTGTCATTTGTGCTGTCTGCTAAGATTCCTGGAGTTATAACAAGGAGGGAAGCTATGTACAGTGACTGGTTTGCATATTTTCAGAACATAAGGCCGTTGATCTGTAAGTGTATCCTTTATGTTGCAGGATGTAAAAGTCTTTAGTGAAGATGGGACAAGCAAAGTGATCGAAATTCTAGCAGACATGACAGCCAGGGACCTCTGCCAGCTGCTCGTTTACAAAAGTCATTGTGTGGATGATAACAGCTGGACCCTAGTGGAGCATCACCCTCATCTAGGATTAGGTAGGGAACCGTCAAGCATGGCAATGTTAACTATGAACATACAATGTGTAATATAACAATATGGATGTCTTTACAATTGCTTCATTATGGACAAAGGTTTTTAATCTCTAAGTGATCTGGAATCACTTGCGTGCTTTAAACTAATGCGTGTTAAGCATTTGAACCATTTTTAACTCTCCTATATATTATTTTTCTAGTCTTCACACTATTCTTACTTTGCTGTGTTTTGAGGCTATAGCAAATAAACAGCTTAGGCAAATTAAGCTTGATCCCTAAAGAGTACTGGCCCTGTGAATCAGCTCAGCTCATCACCAGCTGGGAGACCTGAATGAACAGACTCAACCTTGCATACCTACAGTATGGTTATGAAAGCTAGACACACTGTGGGGAAGGAGAGGGGGCTGAATACACTTGACTTCAGGGAGGGGAGAGTATTGGTACTGCCACTCACAGGGGATTGGCAATTCCTGGACCAGCACTGGCATCTGCGCTCTCTAGGCAGCAGCTACTCCAACTGATTTGAAATTAAGGTGCCATGGTTACAGTTGGCAAGAAGGCAGCAAGAGGAAGAACTGCAGGGAATTAAATAACATTAGGAATTGGTTTAATTACAGTACCTGAAAGAATCTCATGCTACTTAATCTGGCTTCTGCTCTTATTTTGTGGAACGGATTTAGTAGAAGCACCATGATGTGCAACTTTTGAATATGCAGTATGTGAATAATTTGCTGAAACAATACAGAATTGTATATGATACAGAATATGGCATTTGAAATGTTAACCAATATACTTTGAGGTGAATTGCTGCCTTTTAAAAAAAAGAAAAGTCAATGGAGATTATGATCAAGCAGAAATAAGCAAACCATTAACTGTAGTCATAAGCACTGAAATTGTGAACACTATCAGTGGTTTATAAAAGTGTTTTAAAAATCTAAAATTTATTCAGCCTTTACAAATAAAGAAAGAAGTGATTTGCTGGAACTGTGATACCCTAAATGGATGCTATTCAACACAGAAGTTTACTGTTCTGCAAGTTAACTCTCCAAAATGTCTTACAGTTTAACCCAATTAACAAATTCTTCCAGTTAGATTCTATTTTTCAGTGTAAAAATAGAACTAACTATTCCATAAACATGGAAACCTGGTTCATGTAAAATGACAGCTTCCAGCTTTGTTCATAGCATAAAACAAAATTGACAGTATAAGTTACAGAATCTACATTTCGTCAGTCTAAAGCACCATATCCACATGTGGGAAAAAAATTATTAAAATTTTAGCAATGCTCATTAAACTACCAGGCACTCTGTCCATATTTCCTTTCCCATCACTGCTGATTACCAAGGTATTGTGTAAACAGAAGCCTTCTGCTTTGTAATCAACATCCTTCTCCTGCCAGATTCATTCAGTGATGCCACAATTCAGTGTTTGTGACATCACAATAGCTTCCATGGTGACTAATTGTGCTGTCAAACTCTGGTGTGTGACATCTCTGAATGAATCGGGCAGGAGACTGATTAGGAAATCAAAAGCTTCTGTTTACATACAAATAACTTGGTAATTAACAATGATGGGAAAAGAGCAAGATACTTATCAGTCTGCATTTATATACAGTAGAATCTGCATATAGCGGAGCTCCATTTTATAGTAAAGCATGAAGCAAATCCTGGATTGATTCAATTAAATGCAATGTACAAACTGCAACTTGAGTTATAATGAAACTTTCCATGGGGGAAAATAACTGCTAAAAGAGTGTTCCAGGGTTAGCAATCCAGTATATCCACGTTACAGGTCTTAAAAATACACTTCATGATTTGAGAGTGAAAAAATTACAAAATTTTTTACAAAATTGAAAGAGCACCCAAGATAAAAAAGGAATGCAGTTTGCCACATGAAAGAAACTTCACCTGAATTCTCAGTTCCATAGAATGGAGGCTTATATATTCAAAATATATATTGCACTAAAGACCATCCTCCGGAGAATTCAAATACCACCCATCCCCCAAAATCACCAGCACAATTTTGATTAAGCTTAGTTAGAACATTTGCCATGCAACCAAATTTTGCTGGCCCTTGGGTGGCTGCTCTGAGAGGCTTTTATGTGCATGTTTCAGATATTGCCAGATTGTGGCAGTGGTCTCATAGTCTTCTCTTACCACCCCACAGCTCAGTCTACAACGAGGTGTCCCATGCTCTAAAACCTTCCCTCTACATATGCGTTTTTTTGTAATACATCTAGGTACACTTGAGATGTGAAACAATAATTCCAGCTGTTTTGGGGTGAGGGGAAAGAAAACGTAAGTGATTCTCATGGCTCTGTGGACGCGTTTCTAGAAGATGTTTCTGACAAAACTAGCTGTTGCTCAGATATCAGCAGAAGTAATGCTTTAGTTTAGAAGGTGGTTCTGAAGTCATCCAAGAACACGATGGCCTCCTAATAGTTTAATTTTTCCTCCTAATCTACTCTGCTGCATAGGAGCTCTGTTTGCAGAATCAGTTCAGTTCAGGATCACACAATGGTGGCATGATTTAACTTCTTGGAATGTAGAGTTCACTGGTTAGTGTGGTGATATTTTAGGTCCCTGCTACCAAAGGGACCTTAACCAGACTGCTTACTTTGCATACACACTCATTTGTATGTCCAAATAACATTTCCACATGCAAATTGCTGCAAACAGCTATTTGAGCGTGCAAATTAATTTGTGTATCCAAAACTGTGTGTATAGAAGCAATGTTTTTGATATAGCCTCTAGGCCCATTTAGATTCCTGGCATCGAAGGTCACATTGCACTTTACTTAAAATCTGACATTAATCTCTAAAACTTGAGTTAATCCAAACATTTTATTTGTAGCTCTTGAAATCTAGTTTGTTCTTGCAAATGAGTGTCTTCCTTGTGTGCTGCTTTACTAGTCTTTCTGTTCGCATAGCAGCTTGGTCAAGTAATGGTATTTTGCAGAAGCGAGGCCTTCTACGTTGATTTGACATACACAAAGGTGTGATCCTACATTTCTATGTTTGACCCAAAGAGGGCCGTTTCTCTTGAGATTGCCACTTGAGTTGTCTTTTAGACCGTGAGGCCATCAGTCAACATTCAGTCACCACGTTGCTGGCTTTGGTTGTGCCGAAGCCCTTAACAGGGAGGACCGCATGAAGGTTGCCATCTTCCTCTCCTCCTGCTTCACTATTACCTACTATTTTTTTAAAGGGGAGGGAATTGAGTTATTTCAGTTTCTTGTTAATGTCTGATAAAGACAATAATGAGATCAAGTGTTCATGAAAATATGTTCTTTGATCATGTAAAAATGTCTGCCTGTAAACCTCATTTTCTAACTGGACAGGTTTATTTAACATTGGTAAGCGAAAGCAAAATTTTACATACCTGGAACAGTGATAGAGCTGTAAAGTGTAGAGCTGGTGTTGGAAATATGAATTGGAAAGTAGTGTCATTGTGTGGTTCCATGTTTACATCATCTCATTTACTTCCATATAAAATTTGCTTAAATTTATAAGTAAAAATATGACTTTTCCTAAGAGCCACCTCACTAACTGAAAAAATGAAACTCAAGCTGTTGGTTCTTCTGGCTGCTGCATAATTGCCCTTAATCAAAGTTCTGTAATCAGAACTTTCTGGGTATTACACCGATGGGGAAATGAGATGGATCCTGTACTGAACTCAGATGCATTAATTGTGCAGTTTTAAACAGTAATAAAAAGCAGTTTAAAAAACTGGTTGTCATTATGAAGTGACCCCAGAGAGGACTTTGAATAAACACAAGGAATAGATCAGATTGGTTAGCGGGTGCCATTTTTAGTAACTTTATCTAATCAGCCTTCCTTAAGCATTATGGTTAGAGTCCTTCAGAGTGTTATGTAAGCTCTTTCTGGATTATTGTTGTCTGGTACTTGAGCATGCTTTACTACATCATGAAAAATCTGTTGTTATGGATGTGCACGATTGTCATAGTGCACAGATGGCGCACCCACGGCAGCCCCCCATCAGCTCCCCTCCCAGCACCTCCCGCCCGCCGGTGGGTCCCACAGATCAGCATCTCCCCGTCCCTCCCAGCACCTCCCGTCCGCCACGAACAGGAGTATCGTAATGTGCAGGAGGGTGAGGGGAGGAGGGAGGATTTGGCAGGCTCGGGGGAGGGGACAGAACTGGACGGGAAGAGGTGGGGCCTTGGGGGAAGGAGTGGAGTGGGGGCGGGGCCTGGGGAAGAGCCGGAGGTTCGAGCACCCCCCGGCACTTTGGAAAGTCGGCGCCTGTGACGATTGTAATATGTCCACGTATAATGGCAATGTGGAATTAAATCCTTGTTTGTGATTGAATTAAAGCTAGGAGTGCACAAGAGTGGCATGTTTAACTTCTTGAAGATAAGCATAAAACAACCAGATAAAACAAATAACTTTACATAATTGTTGTGATTTACCATTTAATAACGCTTAACACATATCTGTGATTCTAATTTTGGAGCCAAAATTCAGTGCATCTCTAAAGTTGTTGTGTTGGTACATCCATAGCCAAGTAGCTTTGTAGAAAGTCTCATCCCATTAGTCAATAAAAGAAGGAATGTCCTGTGTTGCAGCCTGTGTAAAGATGTAGCACACTGACAGCTGTGGGTTTGCTTCCCCTCAACATCTAAATCTGCTAAAATGTTCAAATTCTGGTTGGCTTGTATCATCAACATGAAAATTCAAATTGTGTTGTGACTGGTTCCCCTGGGGTGCCACCTGGAACTGGGGGTACCACTGTGCCCTCTTACCCACCAGCCTGGGCTCCCTCCCTGATAGATAAACAAAAACGCAAACTGAGCTTTAACACACTAGCTAGGATATGAATTAGCAAATTCTCACCCTGAGTGATAAACAGGCTGGCAGATTCTTAAGGCACAAGCTGCCTTTGCTTTGCAGCTTGGGTTTCCCAGGTTTCATACACAGGCTAGAAATCCCTTTAGCCTGGGACCATCACTTCCCCCAGTTCAGCCTTTTTTCTTCAGGTGTTTCCAGGTGTGTTGTTGTTGGGAGAGTGAGGTACCATCATGATGTCATTTCCCCCTTTTATATCTTCTTCCCAGTTGCTGGAAAGCTCTTTTGCTCTGACCTGGGTCAAACAGTTCCCATTGTGTAGTGCTATCTCTGAGAGGTTTCTATTGTACATAGTTCCTGGGGTAATCCTTGTGCTTGTGTGCATTTCCTCAGTAAGCCATTAACATTGCTTGGCCTTTTTTACTATTGTACCGGAAAGGCTGCTTGTGGGTGTTTTTAACCTCACAACATGTTCCAGTAACACATATATAGACAAACTTCATAACTTCACATATGATGATAGCACATACAATCCAACATTAATGTCTAGCAGATCAAGACTTAGAATGATACCTCACAAGATATGTTTTGTGCAAAACATATCCTAATTATGTGACAGTGGTGAATAAGGGAGTGTCAGGGTGTCACACATGTTATTTCAGCAGAAATGCCACCACAAAATTTCAGAGGTAGATGGAAACTAACTTGGTAAGGAGACAAGTTTAGGACTTTTTATTCATCTCTACACAATACTTCCGTCAAACATTCATAGAATGTATTTAGACAAACTAAAAGGCAAAGTACAAGCCACATTGACAAATGCTGGCCTAAATTACGCTTCCTCAGGATAAGCAAGACATATACGCTGACTACCTTAAAATCAATGTGAGCTTTACACTGTATCATGAAAGATGAAAGACTTTAAGCTCTGTAAGATCAACCAGGAAAGGCAGTGCCTGAACCCATGGCCCTTTACAGGGTACAACCTACTATCAAGTCTGTCATCTTTAAATCAAAAGACTATTCAGGGGGAAAACACCCCACTGACCTGTTACCCTGTTGGAGAAAGAGATGGTCTGAGGTAGCCAGGACCCAAACAACATAGTGATTTATAAATTAAAATCAATATGTCAAATTACATTCGGAACCTAGTGGAGAATTTAGAGATTTAGGGGGCAGATCCTAAGCTGGTATAAGGTGTCACAGCCTCATTGACTTCAGTGAAGCTATGACCAGTTATACTATCTGAGGATCTGACCCTAGATGTAAAATGCTCTCTGTGGCTAGCACACTAAAAAGGAGGCTGCTTTCTGCTCTTGCTATATCTTCCAAATGGTCTTCAGGGGTAGCCCCACAAAGAGTGAAGTGCAGTAATCCAATCTGATGGCCTCAAAGGCTTGGAAACCTCTAAAGTCCACAATGAAATGTCACAGTTGAGATGAATGCAGATGGGGAAAAGACAATTGGCCCTCCAGTGGATCATTACTAATGAAAGGTAAATCTTAACTTGAGCCCACTAAATTAAACTGAAAGGCATGCAAGAATATGCTTGCTTTTGAGATTTCAATCACTTTTTGCCTTTCACTGGGCTTGAGAATATCACAAGAGAAGCTTTTCCCCATGCTATCTTGAAATTCTGGTCCTGTCTGAAACCTGAAAGTGCAAAGATGCATAAAAGTGAAGTGAGGAAGGCTGTGAACCACAAGAGGCTTGAATTTTAAGCAGAGTTTCAGGTCAGTTGTGTTTTTATTTGAATTGGTTTGCCCATTCCTAGTTATATACTAGAAACCTTGATAATGAACCGTCTGAAAAATAGAGAAAACGTTGTATGCAGTGATGTTGTAGCTGTGTTTGGTCCCAGGATATTAGAGATACAAGGTAGGTGAGGTAATATCTTCTATTGGACCATCTCCTGTTGGTGAGAGAGACAAACTTTCAAACTTACACATACCTCTTCTTTAGGTCTGTGAAACATACTCAGAGTGTCACAACTAAATATAAATTGGAACAGATTGTTTAGCATAAGTAGGTAACACATATTTCAAGGGACCATTCAAGGTGAAGTGGTCTGCTAACACCTCTCCAGTTGTGGAGAGGGGGTGGGGTGAATTATGGCTTTATGCAACCAATCTGTTCCGCCTTGTATTTAGCTGTGACACTGAGTACATTTCTCTGAACTAAAGAAGAGCTATGTGTAAGCTTGAAAACTTGTCTCTCTCCCCCAACAGAAGTTGATCCAATAAAAGATATTACCTCACCCAGCTGATCTCTAATATCCTGGGACCAACACGGCTACAGCAATGCTGCATAGAACAGAAGTTGGTCCAGTAACAGAGATTACCTCATCCACCTTGTCTCTGAAAAATACCGAGACATTTTCCTAGAAACCTTCAGTAGGCCTGCCAGGACACTGACATCATTGTCCCAGAGTAGACTTGCACCAATTGTCCTCTAAAAGTTGTTTTTTAAAACTTTGAGCTACTTGTTTCAATGGAATAGTTCCCATTAAACTAGCTTGTTCATTCTTTCATATGTATTGTACTTTTTGACTGAATTATAAGAAGCAATAGTGGTGGGATGTTCATTCGTACAAATGACCAATTTTAGTCGCAGAAAATTTTCCTGTGATAAGTACAAAACCTCTATTGCTGTCTGTTGGCACTCCTTTAAGAGAGATCCTTTGATTTCTTCTATAATAAACACAGTATCTTATAAATCTGGCCTGAAGTTCACCTCAGGATCATACTAGATTTTGAAAAGTGTGGCTGAATAGGATGCTTTTTCACCCACCTCAGTTACATTGCAAGACTTAATGGTGGTCCCATCATACTTGTTTCTTAAAGCTGTCCCCACCCCTTCACTCCTTTACAATAGACCAAGTACCAAAAGAAAAATTTAGTTTGTATTACTCAAGTTTCTTGCAGTCATTGGAGTACACAAACCATCCTATGACCTCTTCCTTCCCAAAAGTCCTTATTTGTATGAAACCCTACCATGTTAAATCTAAACCATTTTTAAACAAAATTGCTTTATCTACAGTTTTGGTCCTCTAAGTCCAGTTTCAGCATAATTTGAGGCCTATAAAAGCTCTTTCCCCACAGAGGCTTTTGATAACTTAATACAGGATTTCTGTGTAACAAATGAATTCGGAGTAGTTTCACTTGTACTATTTGGAAGATTTTTCTTTTTTCTACCTGATTAGACATTAACATTGTATTTTCCCTCCACAGAGCGGTGCTTGGAAGACCATGAGCTCGTAGTCCAAGTCGAGTCCACTATGGGAAGTGAAAGTAAATTTTTGTTCAGGAAGAATTATGCAAAATATGAATTTTTTAAAAATCCAATGGTGAGTCTCATTGTCCAGAATGACTGTAAAACTGTCTGGGGGCAGAAGCTGTTGCATACTGTATCTTTGTATAGTGCTTAGCACAATGGGGACCCCACAATATATTATATATGTGGTTAATGAGCATGGCAAGGTCTTCGTTGTATAAAACAACTTTCTTGGAAACAAGTAACACAGTTGCCCAGAGATGCTTAACTTATCTTATGCCCAAAAATGAGAATCTTGATGGTTATCAGACTGCACAATCTGATTGTCTCGGGGTGGCTGTTGCTGTGTCTAAGAATGACCATACAAAGGCAAAGCCCAGCTTGGTTTCTCTAAGCAACAACAGTTCAATTTGTTCATTATCCTGAAAGTTATTAATTGATATGAAGCAAGTTGACCAAATAATGTGAATATCCAGACCTCTTAGTTTCTGCCAGTAATGAAGAAACCTGTGAGTAACCTTTAAGGTGCTTGTCATACCTGATTATTTTCCCTGATTATCAGTATGTATGTTGAATAGGGGTTCATAATAGGTGAACCTACTACTGTTTTCTAGTGGGTTTCTTCTTTTTCCTGTACAGATCAAAGTAACTCTACCTCTCCTTTTCCTCCCCTCCCTTCTGCCTATGAAACTTCAGTTGGTTTTGGATTATATCATTGAAACTAATGCAGTATTATAAGAACCTAAAAGCTATTGTGATTTTAACAGTATAGCAATCTTTCTAAGCTTATTTGGAAGCAGATTTTCAAACTCGTAAAGACATGGCCCAATGGGTGCAAACCTTAGTTGTGTGCACACATAGATATTTGCAGATCCAGCTGCTGGTGTATGTTTGGCAAACTGCCCCAGCCATGATATCTTGAAATATCTGGATGGAATGTACATGATTTATAACCTTTGCATTTCTATAGTATGTTTCATCTGATAACCTCAAAGTGCTTTAACCTTAAGCCTTGCCACACCCATATGTTATGAAGCATTATCTCAGGTGAAAAGTTGGTGAACTAGCACATTTGTTTTAGTGATTTACCTAAATTGGTAGCAAAGGTAAGAATAGAACCCATAATATTTGGCTTCCAGTCCCATGATCTCACCATCAAACAATGCTTCCTTCTTTTTCTATACCAGATCAGGTCACTGATCCCTTCAGTCAGGTATAAGCATCTGGTGTTGGCTAGTACTTAAAGGAAGATGGTAAATTTAATCTTCATAATTCATCTGGCTAATTATATGATGGGGCAGGAGGTTGATTCCTCTTTCACCCTCAATCTGTTAGTGCCTTGAAGAATAAGACTTTTATTAGCTGAAGTAGAATGAATAGTGTTCCTAAGTGCAGTAGATTTTATTGCCGTTTAGCTTGTTGGCAACCTTTTAATTTGGTTTTATAGATACCCATGCATTCAGCGTTCTAACAATGATTAATAGCTCAAAGAGTAACTGAATGTAATGAAGGTATACTGTAAGCATATCATGCAGTGCACCAAGGTATTTATGTGATAGACATTTTAAAATGTGGTACAGAAAGACAGCTAGGAAGAGGAAGTCTGAAATAAGGTAATGCTTTAAATATTAAGTTTTTTGACTTTGATGTCATAACTCATGGTAAATAATGAGATCATAATATTGAGCATCTATAGAACACTCGGAGGATTTAGAAACACCATGTTAGTGTCACACAAGATACTTGGTTCTAAAATAAATGACTACGCTACAGTGACGGTTATGTAAGAGGAATGGATGTTTACTTAGAGCTTGTTAGTATCTAGTCTGTGCAGCAGAGAATTCTGTACCAAGTGTGCAGATCTTGTGTATGTATGCATGTTCAGAAAAATTTGTATTCATTTTCCTGGAATACTTTTTAGCTAACTGTTCATTATGAGAAATACATTGACATTGCCCTGAACACAGTAAATGTATTGGAAAAGATTTTGAAAACGGATTTGTCTTGATAGATTGAAAGGTGTCAAGATTTCAGCGGAGTTGCTAAGCAAATGAGGGAGGTGGGGGACGCTGACAGTTACACATCAATGTTTTCTCATCATTAAAGTTTGGGTAATTAATATGATCCATTCTGGTGGAACTGAACAACCCAGTACAACATAAAACGGTGCTTTGGTTAGAGGGAGAAAACAGCTATTTTAAAGTACTTATACTACACCCATTTCTGTAGTATCTGAGCATCTCACATTCTTTAATGTAGTTTTGCTCACAACACCCTGTGAGAAAGGTACTGTTATCCACATTTTACCAATGGGGGACTAAGGCACAGAGAGGCTAAGTGACTTGCCCAGGGCCACATAGAAAGTCTCTGGTGGACCAAGGACTCTAATCTAGATCTCCCAGGTCCTCAGCTAGTGTCCTAACCACGGTACCATTCTTTCCCTCCATTGCTAGAAACCAGAGACTGTAATTCCGAACTCCTGTCCCTACCTTGAAAGCTGTCTTAGATTGAGTTTTCTGTTGTAGAGGAAGGAGAAGAATGTTATGGAGAATGTTCTTTATAGAAGATAAATTTATCCTTAATTTCACAGATGGAGAAATGTACTTATGAAATATTGCAAACTTTATTTAAAGAAAAAAAGCCATATCAATGTAGTTTGGGGTGTTTTGTTGAGGGGAAAAAAGGAAGTGAATTGGGCTTGAAAGCTTTAGCATCACTTACAGTGTAAGGAAGTCTTTAATTCAAGTAAGAATAATCATCATAGAAGGTGGAGACTGGAAAAGATTCATCTGATCTAGTCCATTAGCTAATACTAACTAACCAGAAGTATGTAAATGCAGTCTGACTCCAAACTGTCTTTTTTTTTTTTTCCCCCTGTAGAATTTCTTTCCAGAGCAGATGGTTGCTTGGTGCCAGCAATCAAACGGCAGCATCCCACAATCGCAACTTTTGCAGGTATTCTAAGACAGTCTTGTGCTAAAGTAGCCTTTATAAAGGGCAAGGGAGGAAGATTAAAGAGGACTGGAAACGTGATCAGGAAAAGAGATTTTAATTTAGTGTATGTTCATAATGTTGATTTTTTTTTTTTTTTGCAGATTTTAGCCAGTCTAATTTAGATTTAAAATAATTGTAAAAATTAATAGTTAGTGGTTAGTTTGCATATGCCCACTAAATTGCCAACTGGCATTACCATGGGTTGCTGTTAGTAGTGCCTATGATGGCTAAGCTGTTAAAGCGTTCTGTGTGTATGTGATAAATGTCAGTTTGCTGACCCCCCAGGTTACAGCTGCACAGCAGCTAAATGTATACTTTTCCAGACTAGGTAGATATACATGTGTTAGCTTTGATTGAGCTAGTGAGCTAAAAATAGCAGTGTAGCTGCTGCAGCAAGGGTGGCGGGACAGGATACCTGCCTGAGTACAGTCCTATCCAAGACCCTATGTATGTACATGGATATCTAGTGTGAGATGCTTAACACCGGTGGAAGTTAAGCATCTCATCTTCTGAGGCACTTTGCAAAATCCCACTAGGTACCTATCTGCATCTTTATGTGCCTGAATACCTTTAGAAATCTGACCCATGGTGGCCAGAAACAATCCGTCTATTCACTAGCTATGTTAATATTTTCCTTGTTTAATACATCAGTTTTAAATGCAGAATTTGTTTATCATAAACTTCCTTTTTCCTTCTTATGTATCCAGCACATTTATGGTAGTTTTATTTAATTAACACACTTTTCAAAGGCTCGTTTTGTACACGTTTCATTAAATGCTAGTTTTTATCCAAATGCAGCCTGACACAAATCCTGAATAAAAAGTACCGTCCTCTAGTAAATAAGAAACGAGTTGCTCACCATTTGCTAACATAATAAAAAATGTAAAAATTAAGAATCTGAATAAATGTATGTTAAGATATATAACTGCTTTAATAAATGTGTGTAAAAAAAGTGTATTCTCATGGTTAGCAAGAAGAAGTACCAAATTTAGTGGTAAGTTTATTTGCTTTCACATAAACGTATGTCAGTGGTTATACCAACCAATGAGAATCAACCTTTCGTATAAAAATAACTAAAAACTTATAAATGCAAAATAAGATTAAAACCAATGGTTTAATACATCCTGAATGGCACTAAAGGAGACAAGAGAAAAGAAATATATGATAGATGCTTGCCTAAAGTTTTGTAAAAATTATATATACGTATACAGTTTGAAACAATGCTGCATACATATATTATACCTTATTCAGTTCAAAGCAGTTGAGAGTTCTTATAAAGGAGTATGTTGTGGCAATATGAACAGAGCACGTGCTTGGCATCCTAAGAGAAGCAGACATTGACCTCGAAGAGTCTTTACCTCGTAACGGGGCTTACATGCTTATTTTTACCAAGTGAATAAAAACCAGGGCAACACAAAAGTAGAAAACATCAAGTCTTCTATGGAATATTCAAAGGGCATGAAACATAAGTCCTAACTGACTGGCTTCACCCAATAGCTTACTGGCTCTGGATTAGACAGTTTTTCATGTCTAATCAGCACTCTGACATACAAATGTATTTCTAAAGTGACTAGGATTTTCAAAAGCGAGTTATGTAAAGTTAGGCACCTACATAAGTGGCCTGTCTTTCAAAAGTGCTGAATGCCTAGCAGCTCCCACCAACTTCACTGGGTTTACTCCTGATTTACACCCCGTCACTCTTAATTTATTTGGTCTTGCACGAGGTGAGAAGAGAACATAGCAATAGCTGCCAGGAGAAGCACTTCAGGCTCTGGTGGAAGATGGAGTATTTGAGGACAGAGGTCCTGAGCTCTGTAGCCCTTGTCTCCTTCCCTGCTGGTAATCAGTGGTTTTAAATGGAAAAACTGCCTCAACAAAATTCAAATTTGTTTAGAAAAATTCTTACCAAAATCATGGCATTGCAGCAAATACATGTACTTGCAGCATGCTTTAGATTAAAATATCTGATAACAATACTGCCTCAGCTAGATGACCTATATCTTCCAGCCCTACAGTTCTGTGATTCATTTGCCTGAATGCATATTAAACTGTTCCCATTAGTTCACCTTCTAGCATCTCTATATAAATTAGAAATAGCATACCAACCTAATTTCTTAAAATATTTCTTGGTCCTGACTTCTAGGGGCCTTTGTAGTTGTAAAGATATAGTTTGAGTTACTGAGTGTGAAATGTTCTGCTGCCTGTGCATATCCCCGGGGGAGGGGGGGCAGAAGGGGGTACACAGGATATTAATCTGAGGTGGATAATCCATAAATTGGCTGTTCATTATCTAAATTTGCTGGATGAAGTTTTGCATTCCAGTCAGTTGTTTCCAAGCTACACTTGTTGGCACATTTCTAGTGGCTAGCAAGTTTCTTAGAATTAATAAGTTGCCTGTGACTATGTTGTGTAAATGTTGGGTTGAAATATCAGTTTGTACTCATCAGTGCAAGAGGAATAGCGGTATGGAAGAATGGTTACATTCTGTATTGGCTAGCACCACACCTGGAGCAAGGAAGACCTCAGTGCTTGTTGCCTGGTAAACAGGAATATGCCAATGTGCTAAGTGTAACTAAGGGTGTGTCTAGACTAACAGTGCATGGCAAGCTGGGGTGTAACTCTACAACGCTGTAGCCTGCCACGCACTAACTGTCCATGTGGACCCAGCTGCTGGACACCAAAAGTTCCCTAGTGCATGTTGACCTACTTTGCTTTGAAAGAAGATAGCAGCTCTCACCAGGGAACATTCAAGTCTAAGTCAGTGACTGTGACTGACTGCTCCTTGCTACAGGTGTGGTGCTAGCTCTGTCCATGTTTATGGTACATAATCATATAACTTAATATTTTTAATTTTCATCTTCCACAGAATTTTTTAAACTCCAGTAGCTGCCCTGAAATTCAAGGTTTCTTGCATGTGAAAGAGTTGGGTAGGAAATCATGGAAAAAGTTATATGTGTGTTTGAGAAGATCAGGACTTTATTGCTCCACAAAAGGAACTTCAAAGGTAATATTTTTTTTAAAGAATTGAGTTACTAAAATTGTTGGTATGTAAAATGAATTTCTACTTACAGTAGATTTTTTAATTTAAAAGTTTCCCCAGAGTTTTCTTTAAGAAAAGAGATGATGCAAAACAATAAATAAATTATGGGCAAGTAGCAAACAAGACCTGGGTTGCTACATCCCTTCATCTTGAAATATCCATCTTTGAATTTATTTATTATAATAATAATAATATACTCAGATATACATGTGTTTTTAATATATAAAAATATATAAGTGGCTACCGAAGTTGCATTAAATGAGAGTTTAGGGATTTGGGAGAAAACACTTGCTTCATAAGTGAACTTCTTATGGGTTTATTTTAGATGGAAACTAAAGGCTGAATTATTAAATTTGAAAAACAAATTAACATTAATCAGAACCAATATAGCTCTGTAGAAGGCAAAACCAGCTTTACGCATCATTTCATCATACCAGAATGTAACTGTTTGTCAACTTTCAGCATAAACCCCCACCCTTCTCCTGCTATTGTGTAGTTTTGCGGGGGTTGGTACTTTTTTTTGTTTTGGGGTTTTTTTGGTCTCATGGTATTTCCCTTGCAAGCAAATATCTCAGAAATACAGATCAGTTTGTCAGTATGCATCCTGAGAACAATTTTAGCTTTACATTTATAAACGTATAGCCAATCTGAAAAGGTCAAACGGTTCATTTTATTATATGTTAAATAAAACTTCAAGTGCTTAGAGAGAGGCAGTTTAAATGTGCATACACTGCCCTCTGATGGATGTTATTCTTCAGAGAAGGTATGGCTGGCCCTGAAAAGTTTCATGTTTAATCCTACAATTTAAAATGACAATATTTCCACAGGAGCCAAGACACTTGCAGTTGTTAGCTGACCTAGAAGACAGCAATATCTTCTCATTGATAGCAGGCAAGAAATTGTATAATGCTCCTGCAGACTATGGATTTTGTGTAAAGGTAATTCCTCTCATTAACTTGTTCCCAAGGTGGAACTGAAATCATTAGCATTTTTTTTTTAGCAAATTTGTGATACCCTTACTCACCATGTGTAGAAGTTTACTCACTAAGTAATCCTATAGACTTCAGAAAGACTTTTGGAGTCTGATACTAGGCAGTGGGAAGGTGAGGGTAGGAGGGCAGCACAGCCTGACCGTAATGGATAAAGCTTTGCACAGTAGCAAATCAAGTAGCAGTGATAGTTGTTCGAGGTTGTGCATTTACTAATATAGTGATTTTGTCTAAATGATGCTATAAACTTTAAGATTATTTAAATGTAAAAGTCAATGGCGTTTTCAAATAATTGAGCAGACAAGCCCTCACGAGGTTCCACAACGGAAAACCTAGAATTGCATACTTGGGTATTACTCTGGGGTTCAGAAGCTCTGATGTTAGTTACATGAGAGGGCCCCTCAAGCTTTAAATATATAATCTGAGGGTCACGGACATTCAGTTTCCATGTGGGTGTATTTTAAGTATCCGTGCTTCTGTGCTTTGAAAACCCGGTATGTCTTTTGGACTGGCAGGTTTGAGTACAAAATCATCTAACTGCTGTCAGGTAGTGAGCCTGTTGGATGGCCTTGGGGTTATATGTTCAGACACTCGCTCCAGACATTCACATATAGCCTCTGCTTTTCATACCTTAATCGCTGTGAAAAGGAAAGCTCCTTATGAGAGCAAGTGCCCAAATTACATAGCAGAGGATCACACTCTAAACAGAGGTAAATGCACCAATATAACAGGCAGCTTATTTGCACTTACTTTAAAGCAGAAGGTCAGTTTGAAAAATGAAGAGTAAAGTATATGGGGTCGGTTTTTAACTGTTATGCCTGGCCTACCTGCAGCTTTTGTACTGGTATAACCATGCGAGTTAGGGAGATGATTTTTTTTTTTTTTTTTTACAAATAAATTTTTTTTTTTCAACCACTAGAGTAGTTGCAGTTATATCAGGATAAAGATACTCCTACTGGTATAGTTTATGCTTATATGGGAAGGGGAATAAGACAGAATACTTTTTAACAATATAATGCCTTCCATGCTAGGGGTTGTACTGATATTAACTAAACCAGCATAGCTAAAGTAGTACAACTTTTGTGTATAGACACACCTCAGTGTGCACCCCGCTTTCTCATTGTTGTCACCAACGTGTCTGGTAACATTTTTTTAAAGCACCCAAATCCAATTGTCTGTCATTTGTGTACTGTTGAAAATAAAGTTATCTACTGTGTGCCTCCATGTAAGGCCTGGGCTACACTGGGGGGAGGGGGGGGGGATTCAAACTAAGATACGCAACTTCAGCTACACTATTTGCGTAGCTGAAGTCGAAGTATCTTAGTTCGACTTACCTGGCCGTCCTCATGGCAGCGAGTCGACCGCCGCAGCTCCCCCATCGACTTCGCTTACTCCTCCTGCCGAGGTGGAGTACAGGCATCAATTCGGGGATCGATTTATCGTGTCTAGAAGAGACGTGATAAATCGATCCCTGATACATCAAACACTACCCTCCGATCCGGCGGGTAGTAGAGATGTACCCTAACAGGCCTCAGGAGAAAATCTGAGGGGAGGAGTGAGGAGACAGGCCTGGGAGCTGCTTTTATTGATGAGTTGCAAGGGTTTGTGGTGGTGGAGGCATTAGAGAGGAGTTCCTCATTGCTATGAACTTGTCCCTTTACTAGCAAGTACTGTTTGGCTAGAAATAGACTCTCTCCCCAGGTAAGGAATGATGGCTAGTGGAGACATACTGAGTTAACCAGGGAAAGCCATTTATATAGGCATTGGGGGGGGGGGGGTAGAGCTCTCCTCCCCTCTGATATGGGGCTCTCTAAGGCAATGTATGTAGCTTCTCACAAGGCAAGCCTGACATTCTCTGGCCTCTTGTCTGCAGAGGTGTGAGTAGCTCCAGCAGTAATACTTCTGCCATCTGCAGAGGGGACAGCAGGAGCTGTTAGAATGGATAATTGTCAGGTAAACTTACCTATCAAAAACATAAACCCCCATCATTTTTTGTTTTAAATTACCCACAGTCTTCCTTATTTCAAGTGTAGGTGGTCAAAAAATACTTCCAAGTATTTTATTAATCTTAACATGAACAGTAAGAAGGCAGGAAAAATCACTCAACAATAAGGTAGTGGTATCTGAGTGGTGTGGTTAAAGCACAGGACTGAGTGTTGGGAGATCTGGTCCCTGCATCCAGTTCTGCTGCAGACTTCATGTTTGACCTTAGATGAGTCAGTTCATCTCTCTACCTCCAAGTCCCATCTTTAAATGGGGCTGACAAAGCCGTTATTCTCAAGGTTATTTTGAGGATTAGTTTACTTAAATTATACAGTGTCTTGATAACCTTGGATACAAGAAGTTAGAATGGCAGACTGTTGTAAAATGGTAAAGGTTACAAACTGATCACTCTCCTTTTATTGGGGACCAGTCAGGGAAGTTGGTTCTAGACTTTTCTCTCCAAATATATTTTCGTCTCCACGGAACACAAGTTCAGTGTGAACGAGTATTTTCTTGGCAAATACTTCCCGTTTTCTTACTCTCTGTGCCTGCCTTTCCTATACAGTATATGTCAAGTGCTGTTGCTTTCCTGTTAAACGTAACTTAATTCCATCTTCCATTTTGTAGCCCAACAGAGTGAGAAATGAAACTAAGGAATTGAGGTTGCTGTGTGCTGAAGATGAGCAGAGCAGAACCTGTTGGATGACTGCATTTAGACTCCTCAAGGTACCTACTTTCTCATAACCTAAATTAGGCTAGGTCTGCAGCTGTCTTCATATTCTTGAGAGATTTCAGTTTTCCCATACCGTTGTGCACTGAATACACAAGGCAATATTTTTATGAAGAAATCCCTAGCTACTCTTATCGAACTGCTCACTTACGTATCCCAAGGTCAACTATATTCTGCAGCAGATAATTCCATTTTGGAAATTAAAATACTGGATACAGCTTTTAATCAGAATCTTGTAACCACAGCATTAGATTGTATTCATTGCATGTATAAGTAAAACACAATCCTGGTATGGCAAAATATGAAGTATATGTTTGCCTCAAAAATTGAAACAGTCACTAGTTTTAAACTCATCATGTCAATGCAGAATCTAAAAAAAAAAAAAAAAAAGAATATCAAGAGTTTAGGTCAAGTATTTAGGCTCATTAACTTGCAGTGATTTTAACTAGTACAAGATACTGTCTAGTGTCCTGTTCTGCCATTTTGTTCAGAATTTTTGTTTTCTATTTCCTGAGGCAAATTCTCTTTTAAAAACGGTAGTGTTTTTTTGCAGTGTTTTTGTTTAACTGGTGTGGCTTCTAATAAAATATGATTCAACATCCGACCTGGGTCAAGAGTATGTATAGCTGAGAGCAAGGAGTGAATATGTTTTTCACTGGCAGGGGTGCATGGAAGGAGACTTAGCAGTATACTCTTGACAAAAATAGTACTAGCTTCCTCACTTGGCTGGCAGAGTGGTGGTGTAGTTCAGAGTCTTGTATGATAGATTGTATTGGGGTGGGGTATTGTGGAGAGAAACCACAGTGGGAAACAATCTTTTGTGTTGTAGCAGAGAAGCAATGGACTGTCTGGCTCCCATCGAGGAGGAGATCGGTTAGAATCTACAGATCTGTAGAAGTACCCTTTATAAATTCCACCTTGAAAATCTCATTTGGAGGAGAAGACCCTAGAGGCTTTCAAAACCTCAGAGCCTCACTTTTGTCAAGGGCAACATAAATTCTCTACTGTCTCATCCATGAAAAGCCTCCCCTCCATGCTAACTCTCAATTTCTATGCTACAGCTTTATGTGAATATTGTAAGGTGGATGCATAAGAATTCAGATCCAGGCAGGCAACACAAATTTAATGTTGTCTCATTAGACTTAAATTTTCACAAGTGACGAAGGGGTGCCCAACTCCTGAGACACCTTGAAGGGCCAGATTTCAGAGGGTGGGTACTCAGCACTCTGAAAATCAGAGGTCTTTAAGGTGGGTTAAGAGTCACCCAGAATAACTTGTCACATTTGAAAATGTATGCCCTAGATTCTAGTTAATGCATTTATAGCATCTCCATACACAATGTCACGTCATAAACAAAAGGGCAACTTGATTCTGGGGTCAGCCAACGTTGTGTATTCTTGAGGCTAAATAGGAAGTTCAGTATCAACTCTACAGGCTGCAGTGCTCTGGTAGGAATGTGGCACTGTCTTAACTGCAGGATAATTCTACAACCTCTGAGGTTAACATTATCACTTTCTATTGTAATCAGTTATCAGTGGCCAAACAGTCCCTCACACATGATGTTTACCAGGAAGTATTGCACAGTACACAGAAAGTACACAGTAGCATATTTACCTTATTCTGCAACATTTTTATCCCCAGACTCACTCCTCAGTTTCAAAAGTTTGTCTGGTTGGTCTTTAGTCCTGGCTAATTTCCAGACGAGTGGGGTAGAAAGTGGTAATTTTAAATTTGTGTTGTGTGCCATGTAATTTTTATCCCCCAAATTACTAAAAATATTTAGTCTTGAGAAACAAGTTATTGTAGTCCAGCTGTCATGAATTGTTTCTCTAGGTGCCAACTCAGGGATGTGATTTCCACTGTTTAGGCCTGGTCTACACTGGGAGGGGGGGGATCGATCTAAGTTATGCAACTTCAGCTACATGAATAACATAGCTGAAGTTGACGTACTTAGATCTACTTACCGCGGTGTCTTCACTGTGGTAAGTCGACGGCTGACGCTCTCCCATCGACTCCGCCTGCGCCTCTCGCCCTGGTGGAGTACCGGAGTTGACGGGAGAGCGCTCAACGGTCGATTTATCGCGTCTAGACTAGATGTGATAGATCGACACCCCCTCCCTCCACATCCCCCGCTGGATCAATCACTTCCCGTCAATCCAGCGGGTAATGTAGACAAGCCCTAAGTCACAGGGGTTCTTTTACATACTTTAGGGGCACCATTATTAAAGCCAAGCAAAATAATCACAATTATTAACCTTGGCTATTTTATTATATAAAAAAGGAAAAGAAAACAAAAGACAACACAACAAACAAAAGACACAACACACCGTCTCTTCTGGGTGCCACTTCGTAGAGAGTAGATATTGCACCCTTGAGAATTGGCCCTCTTTTGGTGGAGCCACTTTTCTCTTCATAAATTGAGACCAAGGTTTTATTCCCAAAGTTGCTGTGAGCCTAGTTTCAGTGTATTGTTAGAAAACCAAGACTGTTTATAAATGTGCAAAAATTTTGTTGCAAGGCAGGTGCGTCCTGTTGATTTTTAGGAATAACAAACACTTTATTTACTCTGCCCAATTATAATCTTTATTAAATCTTAATAAATCAAAGGAAGGATTTAAATCAGTTACTTAGAAACCATTTATGGATCTGTCTTAAGACAACCAATTAACGAATATTAAGAATCCTAAATCCAGTTAACTCCCACTATTTTTCTGTTTATCAATGGGAATGTCTGCACAGAAAAGAAAAACCTGGGGCTGGCCCATGCCAACCAACTCGGCCTCCAGGGCTGTTTCATTGCTGTGTAGACTTCCGGGTTTGCACTGGAGCCTGAGCTATGGGACCCTCCCACCCAGCAGAGACCTAGAGCCCAGGCTCTGGGGTCTCGGAGGGTCCCAGAGCTTGGGCTCCAGCTCGAGCCCAGAAGTCTACACAGCAATGAAACAGCCCCGCAGCCTGAGTCTGCAAGCACAAATCAGTTGACACGGGCCAGCCACGGGGTTTTTCTTTGCGTTATAGACATACCCAACACTTAGCCCCTGTCTCCACTCCAGAACTATCTGGTCTAACTATTTGGTGATTACCAGGAGAAACTGTTAACATCTTAAGTTAAAAGAGCATTTCCATATCCCAATAAAATCACTACAAGAGTTTTTAAATCTAATCTCTTGGCTGTGTGTGGCTGTGGCTGTGTGTGTTGGGGGCTCACTTTAGAGTTTTTATAATCTTCTCCTTCCTATTTTCATGACATTTTAAGAAAACATCTCTCAGGCTTGTTTAGATTCAAAGTTGGCTGATGTCATCCTTTCACTGGCTCCATGTCTTCAGGGTTTGGTTATGGTTACACCTTCAGCTTCTGAATACGCAGTATGCTTAATGAACATGCAACACACATCTAATTGTCTTTGTTCTCTTGTGGCAGGAAAACCTTAGATAACTTTAAAGGTTAGTTTTAACTTCCTTTTTATCCAGGTGTTTCTGAGAGAAGTTCAACAGGAACTGAAATTCTTTTTTTAAAAGTGCAAACACTCTTGTTCTTTTGCATAGAAGTTTTTTAGTTCTCCAAATAGGCTCTTAAAGTTAAATAAATTCTTAGATTTTAGCTTAAATAGTTACGAAAAATCATCAACTTCTTTAATAACAATTTTTGCAGGGATGATTCTTCTTGTCTTCCTGAGTTGGGTGAGGGAATTGCTGCTTGAGTATGCCAGATAGTTTGCTAAATAATCCCCATTAATATAAATATTTTATACTTACATCAGTAATCAATTTAACAAGGTCATTGGATTCCATGATAGTACAAAAAGCATTTTACTATTTACATAGCAATGATTTTAGGAATTACCTTTCACCAGGGCTTGCCATCTCAACATTTAAGAAATAAACAAAGGTTGTCTACAAAATATTTCTCAAGTATAAATGTTTTTCTTAAGGCTTCAAGGAGCAAGATTTTAGAATGACTGTGAAATAATTCTCTTTACTAACAACTTTTTCGCTTCTGATAATACATCCCTATACGTGACTTCTTTTTGCTGTTAACATCCTCTTGAAGTCAGGACCTAACTCTTTTGCAAGGTCTGTTGTTTGAGATAAACCATTTCTTTTCCAACTGACATTTTAGACAACAGATGTGTCCTGTTCTGTGATAAGATACTCTGGTTTAGATGCCTTGTAGGCCAAATGGCGTTTACCAGTTGCAGTATACAATTTGCAATTAAAAACTGCTATCAGATATTCTATACCAAGCACCAATCACAACAACCAAGCTTACATCCATTTTTCAAAACATAGCATGTAAGATATTAGTATAAAAAAATAAAGCAAAATAGGAATTAAAATAGCATTTCAGAGTTAGTATAAATATCCCTAGGGGTAATAAAAGTGGTTTTCTCTCCCTGGACACTTGAGGAGTTTGTCACGTTGACAGTCAACAGAGTTGCTAGGAGTTTCCTTAGCTTGGACATTTCATATAATTAAATAAATAAAAAATATATGCGTGTGAGGAACTTTTCTACAAGCACCATATGCATGAAAGTAGTGATAACTATCTCCTAAGGTTCAGTAAAGGTACAGGCAAGTTTGTAATGACCTAACATTAGAAGAGTAAATTTATAATAATTTTATCAAAGTCACTTTTGCATCAGTAGTGAAGTTCCTCTATCACACATGCACATAGGGGAACTGCAGCTTTTCAGTCCATTCTCTGTGCCCTGATTGCATTAAGCTCTCATTTTCCAAATCAGAACTCATTGATTTGAATGCTTTCCAAATTATCTATCCCGTTAATCTTTAAGAACAATTCTCTGTAAATTACAGTACAGAAAATCCTTTTCCCATTTGTAAGTGAATACAAAACAGGCTGTACTAGATAAATGTACTCCAGGATGTGCATGTTGTTCCTTGTATCCTGGACTGTACCTGAATACAAAATGTGTATCTGATTTGTGCAGATCAGGGATACTCAGACCTCAGTGGCTAAATCACACTGTTTTAATATTATGTGCTGCAAAAGAGCCACAGGAGACGCATTAAATGCTACATCTACACCAGTGATTCCTGGACTTAGGCTTGTGAGCTGCAAGTGTCTCTTTAATGACCACTAGCACAGTTCTGTCTCCAGTTACTTTTTACTGAATTTTGATCAGCTAACTGTCCAGGCATGGAATAAATTGAAGCCTTTATTTAAGATTAAAAGCCATGTGGAAGGCATGGTCAAATACTGATTCTCAAATAAGAACATGTATTATTATAGTCTATCATATTTTTCTACAGTCGTAACTACACATGAATGTAACCTTTGTCATGCATGATGAGTAACATAGTTATAGTTCAATGTCTCCTTTTTGTATGTGAGATTGAAGTACAGTACCACTGTTACTTCCTGTTGAAATAACTTAATTATGTACATTTAGATACAGTAACACTAACGTTAAAGTCAAAACTGAACTGGAAAGCTTAAAATCAGTATGTTTATTCCCAAAAGAATCCAAATGTATAATATCTATTTTTTTATTTTCTGTGATCTCTAAAGGGTATTTTGGTGGGAGGAGGTAGAAGAATACTACTGCCAGCTCCTCTCCCCTCAATTCTGTGAGAACTTCAATTATCAGAGGCATACTTCCATTCCAGCTCAGCCTCGCTCATTCCACACATAAAATTGCATCATGCCCCCTGTGCAGTTTGGAACTATGTAGGCACAAAGCCAGTAGAACATTTGCAACCTCTTAAGAGAACTCATTACATAGGTTCATGCACTAAGTATGCTCTAAAAATCCCTGTAAGTTAGACAAATCATAGCAAGACCACTGAAAGCCACATATGGACCTATGGTATATCTCCCTGCCAAATTTTTAATCTCTTAACACCAACCACAGAAGGCTTAGAGCTATTATTTTTAAGTCCCATTATTAAAAAAGGGGTGGCAGGGGAGATGAAAGTGTGCATTCTCTCTTCCCAAATAACTGAATCAATTAATCAATTTCACTCAACTGTTAAAAATAATTTGCTCTGAGTGATGAATCTGCCAACTTTCACCCTCAAAAGTTTTGAGTAGCTGAAAGTGATCTTTTTAGAATTGAATCAGTTGTACAAACTTTACAGGCATCAGTGTGTTCTCTGCCTAAAATTATAGCAAAATCCGCTTTGACTGGGGAATCCAAGGGATCAGCAAAAACTGACTGTGGGCTTCTCTCTAAAAGATGAATAACACTGTAGTGGGAGCCTTTGAGCTATTCTGAAGTGGTGGCTGATGAACAGGAGTTGCTAAGCAGAGCTGATCTGCATGTGCATATGTATGGTTCATATTTGGGTGTGTGGATAAAGCTATTCATGGGTATTTAGTTTATATATGTGGAGGTGATAGCCTTGTGATAAACTTACCATGCACGTTTGGCTGCCTCTTCTGCCCCGTGCTCATTATTACGTAATCTAGTTTGCCCGAGGACTATTTCTAATACCGAAGTAAGCATACAGTATCCGCTCCAATGCGAGTGGCATTACAATAGTTGCTATAAAGAGATGCAGTTGAATGTTTCTTTTCCTTCCATCTACAGTATGGAATGCTACTGTACCAGAACTACAGAATTCCCCAGCAGAGAAAGACCGTGCTTCCCCACTTCTCCACTCCAGTTGTAAGTACTGAAGTTACTTTTAAATAGATTGCCAGTCCTCCATCCTTGTGTAACAGTTTTGCAGTGGCTTACGTGATAATTCATACTTCTCTGAATTAGAAAGCTTTGCACTGTTCAATGGTGTTCATGAAATGTCTTCCCAGATGAGACTCTATTCCTTTATTAATACACCCAAGCATCCTATTTGTTTTAACTGCTGCTGTGCACTGAGCAGAAGCCACCAATGAGCCTATCCACAACAATCCCCAAAAGAGGGTCCTACAATTTTTAGGGTCTGCTCCTGCGTGCATAGAAATGGACTTAAATGGAAATAAGCTTTAGCCCTCAAAGTCCATAAGTACAAACTTCAATTATGTTTGCCTGTATGCAAGGTAAACATCACCGTCAATAATGATGCTCAATCTCCAAACACTTCCAAATCCATCTGGAGTTTTTTCCCCCCAAAACAAATTGAGTTACTTCTTATTCCTAACTGCAGTTGCATGAATGTGACTGGTTGTTAGGAGCCTTGTCCAGGAGCAGTTTTTATTAATTCCACAAGTAAAAAGGGAATGTGAGAAAGTACCTGCTCCATTTTCCCTCTTTTTGATAGCTGTATTTTAGGATTCATATTTTGTACATGCCTCTTTTCTCTGTACAAGTGAATTCCCCGTAAGTCAAAGTAACTGAAAGAGGAAAGAGTTTTTGTACTTTCACTGCTTTGTACTATGCCTGTGTGTTTGTTTTTTTTTGTTTTGTTTTTTTTGTTGTTGTTGGGTTTTTTAATTAGAAACATATATATCTGATTCTTTGATCATGTATACTTCCCGGGGCAGCTTGGTGACAGTGCTGTGCTCCAGAAAGTATTAGAGTTACAGTCCAAAGTCAGCGCCCTCATTCTCCTGGCTGTAAGAAGAGCAGCACCTCATCTGTCTGGTGGGAGCAGTGGAGTTAGCTCACTATGAAAGGAGCTAGAACATGGGGGTTTTGTGGGGTAGGGGAAAAGATGGGCAGTTTTGGCACCCAGCCTTTTTGGGGACAACATTAAAACAAATTCCATATAATGATAGTACTGTGAATTTCTTAGAATCAAGGATTTAAACTGGTTTGTATTTTCTATACCATTAACTGCAAAAGAATATTCTTGAAATCAACGAAAGATCTGGAAGCAAAACTGTTTTCTTAAATTGTAACTTTCCTGGGTTTTGAAACAAGTGAAAATTCCTTTTCAGAGAAGTGTATCTGAAAACTCACTAGTAGCAATGGATTTTTCGGGACAAATAGGAAGAGTTATTGAAAATCCTGCTGAAGCACAGAGTGCCGCTTTGGAAGAAGGCCATGCTTGGAGGGTAATGATCTTCTCTTCGTATTTAACAAGTGCCCATTGAGAGCTGGAACACGCAGTGCGCTATGAAGCTAATGCAGTGATGGTCACAGTATAGCTTAGCACGGACTTGAAACATTCACGCTGCAAGCATGCAGATATGAAAGAGTCAATTTCCATCTTGAGTGTAACTGTCACATTCACAACAACCTTCTACCACTGCTTCTCTGTCCCCCTAGTGTCCAGAGGAAGGTTGAGGGGGAAAGCAGACCCACCAGAACTTTACTGCCAGTTTGCAAAGCCAGTCTCTGAGGAGGAATATGTCAAATTAAATGCTTCCCCACATGGAAGAGGCTGGGGCTGTGACTAATGGCTTGCTCCCAGTAAGTTTAACTGCAGAATATACAAGAGGCAGGACCTCTTGGAATGAAAACTGATGTAACTTGTTTATAGTGTCATGTGGACAGACAGCTGCAGTACAAGTTTTCCCACACACTCGTCCGCTAGGGAATAGAAGTTATTACCTGAAGCACTAGTAGGTGCTCGCTGTATGGGAGACAGACTCATCTTGCTTCATTGAATACATAGTGTGTTGACTGGGCAGAAGCATATTGATAGGTCTTTTTTTTTCCTTTCTACATGTTGAGTTTTCGTTAATTAAGACCCAGCTTCTATTTTAAGTCAACAGAAGTGGGCCTCTGCTTGTAGACTAGCCCCCCTCCCCTCAGAGCTGCATTTCTCTTTCTCTTCATTGCATTAAACTTCCCTGCCCCAGTTTCTTGTATATTAAATCTGTACTGCACGTCTTCTAATTCTCTCAAGTCAAGGTTTCAGACTGGATTTAATGCTAACTAATTTCTTCTGCAGAAACGCAGCACAAGAATGAACATCTTAGGTAGCCAGAGTCCACTCCATCCTTCCACACTGAGCACAGGTAAATTTGTATTACATAGTAGCAGAGACCTTTTTGGGACAAAGCAAATTAATGTTTAATGTAGAAATGGAGCCCAAAGCTGTGAAAATCAGATCCTGATTTCAGACACCCTAAAAGTTTTAAATTTTAAGGTGAAATTCTGTTCTATCGCTAATGACAGGATAAGTAAAAATTTAATGCAATGTAAAAGCCAGCAAGTGTAAACATTTTTAAGTCAGGAGACTAAGAATTAGTCTTCCATAGGAGGACGGACTTCTCCTTTTAAAGGGGCACTCAAATTTGATTACAATTCTAAATTTTGCAATCTAAATTTTATACAAATCTAGACCCATAAATATTTGCACAGTTTGGATCAAATCCAACAGTCAGATACTTCTTCTTTCAGCATGATCAATGCCTGTATTATACTGTTATGCTCTGTAAATAGTAACAAATAGGATTTTAAAATTACATCATCGTTAATTATTACTATACAAACAAAAAATTGGTTGCTCATAAACATGACTATTTTTTTCAAGTTGAATGTCTTGTTAAGATTGTAATCTTAATGATGCACTAGTATCTTGCATTTAATCTCCTTGGGTTTTTAAAGGGGAAGTTCATACTCCTTAATGTTGGCTTTATATAAGATTTAAAGTTTTTACTTCATTCATATAGGTGAGGGTGCAGGATGAGGGGAGTTTTCACCTTTGTTACTATTGTTCAAACATATTACAATGCTAAAACTTTAGCAGATGCCCTCTGTCTCATATGGAATAACTTTTCAATTAGGAATACATTTTAAAGTATTTTAAAATCCCATATAGAGGACTAGGTATCTTTGTCTAGTCACTTCTAAATTTGTGGTATCTTTAATTTGGAAGGATGAAAGGGAGGTGTTTTTCATTCTATAACTCAAATGGCTGAAGGTGTTAAACTTTCCTTGCCTGGTCTCAATGTGGATGTGATATATCAAGAAGTTTTACCTCCAGGGAGAATTTTTTTCAGGAATTTGTGGAACTCGGTGCTATAACAAAATTGCATATGTTGTATCTATAAACAATAAAATACCTTGATTTAAAGCACATGCAAATGGTATCTCAGGTCTGTCATTGGACACCTCAGACTTTACTGGAATCTTTGAAGAGATTTCAGTCTTTAACAAATCTTCAATACCTTCAACAATATACACATTTCTTTTAAAAGTTTTGATACATAATTTTCTAGATATAAATACTTATTATACATCTTGATGCTATTAACCATTTCCCCCTTCTCTCCCCCATCCCTGCTCAGTTATCCATAGGACACAGCACTGGTTTCATGGCAGGATCTCTAGGGAAGAGTCCCACAGGATTATTAAACAGCAAGGGCTTGTGGATGGGTAAGTATTTATTATTATCCCTCAGTATCATAGAGATTTTTTTAAAAACAAATAGTCTTTACAATGTACAGGATCTTTATGCAGAAAAAGGAGAAAGCAACTGTCTAAAATTTCACTCCCTGAGCCACCAATTTCACCCCCTGACCATGAACAAAGACTGTAGGTTTGGATAGTCAGGAGTTGGTTAAACCCTCTGCAGTACTCCAGCATTGTAAGTGCTCAAAAGTACTCATTCTCCCTTGACTTTCCTTAAAATTCTCTGTGCCTAAGAGTGCTGTTTTCTGGAGGTCACTCATCATGATGTCTTGTTCCCGTAACGTGTCTTTGAGCTGTTCATTCATACCTTCTGGGGGTCACTCCAAGTGCTCCAGTGATCACTGAAATTGACCATGTACTAGTTTTTCATAATCATTCCACTTCGTGGCAAAGTTCTTCATGCTTCACCATCTTCTGTTCATGTTCCTTTTCTATGTTCTGTCTGCTGGTATGGCAACATCAGTTAACAAAGTCTTGTTGGTTGTCTTTTCTACAACAACTATGTCCGCTGTGTTTGCCTGCACCGTTCGGTCTGTGACAATTGTCCGGTCCCATAAAATCTTAGCCTCTTTCATTCTCTAGAGCAGGGGTAGGGAACCTCCAGCCTGCATGCCGGATCCAGCCCCCTGCTTAATTTCATCTGGACCGTGGCAAGTCTTCACCCCGCAGGCCGGAAGCCCTGAGCCTCAGTGCCCTCTACGGGGCTGGAGCCGTGACCGCCGGCTTGCCCCACTGCGGGGGAAGCTAGAGTGCCAAGCCGGTCGGTCAGCTGTCCCTGCAGCCCTGGCTAGGCGCAGCGGCGATCAGGAAAGCTCTGAGTCCACGTGTGCCTACCCCCACCCTCAGGCGCTGCCCCTACAGCTCCCATTGGCCGGGAACCATGGCCAATGGGAGCTGCGGGGGGTGGCGCCTGCAGACGCACCGCTGGCAGCACACACCACACAGAGCCGCCTGGCCACATTGTGGCCACTTCTGGGAGTGGTGCGGGGCCAGGATGGGAGGGATCCTGCCTTAGCCCACTGCACTGCCGACTGGGAGCTGCCTGAGGTAAGCGGCGCCCGGTCGGAGCCCGGAACCCTCACCCCCTCCTGCACTCCTACCCCCGGCCCGAGTCCTGAGCCCCCTCCCGTACCCCAACCCACTCCCAGAGAATGCACACCCACCCCGAATCCACTGCCCAAGATCGGAACCCCTTCCTGCACCGTGACTCCCTCCCAGAGCCTGCAGCCCCCACCCTGAGCTCCCTGCCCCAGCCATGAGCCCCCTCCTGCACCCCTGCCCCATACCTGAGCGCGCTCCCGCACTCCAAACCCTCAGCCCGGAGCCCCCTCCCTCACCCTGAGCCCCTCATTTCTGGCACCACCCCGGAGCCTACCTTCTGTTCAAGTGAATCTACTCACCATGGAAGCTAGGTTAGGATTCATTTGTGGTGGGGCAGCTAATGGTGGCTCAGGTCCTCAGGGTGCCATATTGCCCAGATACCTCGGGCTCTACGTTACAGGGATTTAGGAATGTAATGCTTCCCTGCTAGTCACATTCTTGACCAAAGCACCATACAGTGTTACCATAAGGAAAGAGGTGAAGGTCTTTTTTATAGCTCAAATATGTCCCAGAAAGTCAAGAGTATGCTCAGCTGATGTTTCTGGCACTTGTTCGTCTCTTCTTCAAGCATCAGGGCTGTACAGGGGTCCTGTTATAGAAGTATTATCGACTCTCAGCTCCATAGATACAATCATAATCCAAGGAGAGAGGAGTACTCTGACATGAGTGTTTTTCAGCAGTGGCGTAACTCCCTTGCCTGCAGAAATGCAATGAACAGATGGGACAGTGATCACTGCAGTGCAGGTGTATGGCGCTGAAGTTTATTTCAGCGGTCACAAGAAGCTAGAATGTGTTCTTTTTGTCCCTGGAACTCTAGACAGTTCTTGCAGCTCAACCCTGGAAAACATTGCTCCTGGCATACTGGTTACTTAGAAGGCCTGCCCAGAAATACACTTGACTTCCTCACAAGCTGAGTGGCAACTGTCACGTTTCGAGTGTATTACCTAAGGTGTTCTCTCATTTCCTTTTGTATGAAGAAGTTTTCCTTTTGTCTACTTCGTGGGGAATGCTAAATGAAGAAGAATTCTTGGAGTAGATGCCTAAAGTTTTGGAGCTCTTTTCTCCTCCAAGTACACAATTCACCATTTGGCTGGGTTGGCTGGCTACCTAATTTGAGGGTCACATGAAAGAAATGGGGGTCACATTAGAAATGACATCAATGAAGTACACTAATGCAATGTGACTGTAAACCTTTGCAGCCACCCCCGCCTCCCAGAGTACATTTTCAGCTAATTTTACGGAGGAAAAATGCTCTTACGGGTGCTTGCATATGTTCTCCACCTCTTTGTAGCATGGAAACTGCAAATGTGTAGTCACTGTTAAGAGAGTTCTTTGCATTGTTTCTGAGTAATTATACCTGTTCATCTAAAAGCTACTGCTATCACAGTGCCATTTGTCTTGCTAGCATAGGATACTGGAGAAGAGAGGTAGTTTCTTCATCTCTTTTTGTCTCCAAATCATCCTATAGGAGCCCAAACAAGAATATTTTCTTCATGAGCTTAGTTATTGGCAATGGAAAGCCCAATTACAGAGCCAGCAAACCCCATAGAGTATGTAGGTGAAGTAACATAATCACATTTCTTTTGCCCTGTCTCTGCTTGTTGCTAGCGTTGCATGAACCTGGGTTGGTAAGAACTCGAAGAGAGCAAATTACTATGTAAGAAATTGCCCTTTAACACCACTGAAGGAGGAGGAGAAAGAGAGTACAAAATGACAAAAGATCTGATTTTAGAGCAAATGAGTCACATTATTCAAGTTTGTACTAAAAGAAAATGGTCTTTCCTAGGCTGTTTCTCCTCCGGGACAGCCAGAGTAATCCAAAGGCATTTGTGCTTACACTGTGTCATCATCAAAAAATCAAGCATTTCCAAATCTTACCGGTAAGTGTTGACCAAATAGTTTTCTCATTCTATTTGTTCTTCATAAAACCTTTGTCAGTGTATATAGAGGACTATTTATGGACATAAATTACTAGTGCAATAAAATATAATGACAGTGTTCAGAAACAGAACTCTCTTTTGGCATTTTTCAGTCTGTCTAAAAATATCCTTTTGGTCATCGCTTTGCCTGCTAGCATAAACATCAGAATCAAGGCATAGAACGGATGCAAAGAACTATGATCTCTACAGCTGATTAAAACCACAAGAATTGGTTACCTTTATCTCCATTGCACTCTTTTGATGGCAAGAAGGCTAATACTAGAATATTTGTGGAAAGGGATTTTTGTTTCTTTTTTTGCTTTTATGATTACCTGAGGAATTAGGGGCCTGAATTTGTAAGTTAAAACCGAAGTTTCTCAAAAAATAAATGCCCTCTAGCCAAAAGACATTCTAAACCCTTGAATGAGACTAGCATATCTACACAATCAGCCTAAAATGTTTAGATCAAATGATTATCAAGTCGCTCTTAACCTACAGGACCCTAGTATTCTTCTCTGGCCTTGGCTACACTTGCACGTTATACCGCAATAAAGCCTCTCAGAGCGCTCTACCTTACTCCCCGTCCACACTGGCAAGACATGTATAGTGCTCTGACTCCCTGGCTGGAGCGCTACTGGTACTCCACCTCCCCGAGAGGATTAACAGCTGTTGCATATTGGGTGAGACGCTTCAGTGCCAGTGTAAACGAGAAGTAACGTTACAACCGTCCCATAATCCCCTTAACTGAAGTGGCCTCTCTTGTCTTTGTTGTGAACTCGAAGTGCCCTTTCAAAGCTCCGTTTCGGAGTGCCGGCTGCTTATCTGGTCTGAGGAAAAAAACAAACAGCTAATGTTTGCTTTGAGTGAGTGAGAGAGAGGCGGGGGGGAGTGGTCTGAACTTACAAGACAGCATGCTGGCACACTCTCAGCACCCCAAAACCCACTCTGTCTCCCCCCACACTCCCTGTCACACTCCACCCCACCCCACCCCCATTTGAAAAGCATGTTGCAGCCACTTGAACGCTAGGATAGTTGCCCATAATGCACTGCTCCCAATGCAGCTGCAAGTGCTGCAAATGTGGCCACACCAGTGCACTTTCAGCTCTTCGTGTGGACAGACTGGAGCGCTTTCCGTAGTGCGCTTTCCGAAGGCTGGTTTAACTTAAAGCGCTCTACAGCTGCAAGTGTAGCCAAGCCCTGTGTCTCCCAAATACAGTAATCAGCTAACAATTATTTGAGTAGGGCTTTTGCATTTTACTTAATGGAGAGGCGGACAGTTGACTGAAAACCTGTAGAGAATTTATCACACCTTTCAAGACCCCTGGCCATCCACTCTCATAAGAACTTTTCTAGCTGGGATTAAGGAACGTTTCTTTCAGTGGAGTTGTGGGTGCTTAGCACCTGTGGCAGTTGGACCATTAGTAGTTGTTTGAGCCCTCAGAAACTGAGGCACCAAAAGCCCATCAACACTTCTTTGACAGTGTTTGAGTCACGGATGGAAATGCAGAACTTGTTTCCTGGTATCTGGGGTTCTTCTGGAAGGTCTGGTTTAGTTTAGTACAGCAAAATATGTGCTTTTAAGAGATGTTTCCCAGCTGGAGTCTACACTGTGAACTGAAGGTGTAATTTCCAGATCGAGGAGACATACTCGCACTATTTCTGATCAAACTAGTGTGTTAACAGGAGAAGTGTAGCTGCTGGGGGGAAGAGAGGAACTAGCTTCCCTGAGTGTGTACCTGAATATGTACTCATGGTGACCTGAGCAGTTGTTGGGGCAAGCCACCCTGAGTATATGCCAATGAAAGACCATAGGTGCGTACTTGGGCTGCTAGTTCCTCACACTGCCATGGCTATATGTCTGTTTTTAGCTCTCTAGCTCAGAGCTAGTGCAGGTATGTCTCTGAACTGGAGGTGTAATTTCCAACTTGAGAAGTGTAGACATACTCTAAGGTGGTGGAAAGTGCCAGGAAACTCTGTGAATGTTTGGTCTCTGCAGTCATTCGGTTACAATTCCACACCTCTCCAGTGAGTGAAAAAAACAAATAAAAGCCCTACCTCAATACTTGTTGTAAGCTGGTTAGGACTTTTACTGGAGCTGTTTGTGCAGGCGAAGCAGGAACTTGGTACTTATGAATCTCTAAGGACACTTCAGGCTATGGGGGCAAATTACCTTAGATGAGACTGGTATAGTGACAGTGACTTTAAGAACAATATTTCTATTTTGAGACCTATTAAGTTTTTAACTTAACCAAAATGGATAAGGGGTTTTGTGCATCACAGGCTCCTAAATGACAAGCTGTAATTTGTGCTTATTTTTTCTTACATGAGATCATACCTAGAATCTTAACTTATTGCCATACTTGGGTATTCTAATATGCTGCCTAATTTGGAAAGGACTTCTTATTTCCCTAGTGTGAGGATGATGGACAGATATTTTTCAGCCTCGATGATGGGAATACCAAATTCTCTGACCTAATTCAGCTTGTTGAATTCTACCAACTAAACAAAGGAGTCTTGCCCTGCAAACTCAAACACCACTGCATCCGAGTGGCCTTATGACCTTCCATCTGACACTCACTGAAGACTGGATTTGCTGGAAGACTGGATTTGCTAGAAGAACAATTGTAAGAGAATGTTGACGCTGGGGAATTGGCAGATGTGTAAGTTGGTTTAAAAATATGCACCTTGGGACTCTGAAAGGGATGGATTCAACTGGTGCCAACAGACCAAGATTTACTGGTTTGTCCAACACCTAAGAGTGAGTGCTGCTGAGTGTCCCAGCATCCCAAAAATTTGGCGGGAGGGTATGTAAAATCATAATCAAATCTTGAAACAAAACTGGAATCTATCTTGGCTGGGCCACTTAACAGAAACAAGTGATGAAGAGAAATCTTTGAAAAGAACTCTTGCCCTGGGATAATCTTGACAATTAAGACTAGTGTGTTAACTTTTTGTATTGATCACTTTTTTTTTTTTTGCACTCCTATTTGTTTCGGATATTGTATGCAGCCTATATTAGGAGCTAATGTGGCTTTTAAATTCATGCAAGAGTTGGGTATTAATCTAAACCCTAAAATGTATGAAATGCTTCAGCCTAAAAGGATCTAGAAGAAAACCCAGAAGAGTGTGTGTGCGTGTGTCACAAAACATCTCTGGATACCTGAGGTTCTCTCCTCTTTGAAGAAGCAGTGTGAATACAATTCTAAAAGAACATACCGCCATATGTACTCTTAAAACTGTTAACTTTTAGCATAATGGCTGTAGTATGTTTGTGGCATATTAGTGGTACCCAGTCATGCAAAGACTGTATTAGTCAGACTCTATGCACAAATGTTTGAACCTTTTTTACTTACTGATGGTGGTGGTTTGGGTTTTTCAGCCTGTTGATTTTGTTGAGGAAATTTACTATTCCTAAATGAAATTGTATGACCACACTTGGATTTGGAACCAGCTGTTTTTGTGTGGGGAAAAGTACTTACACTGATAGTCTACTTATTATGACAAAAGATCAGTGTTTTTAGCTTTATATCTCCTTGAATTTTCAGACTGTTTCAAAGAGCTGTCTTTCCAGATAGTCTACTTACAGTAACAATGATATGTAGCAAAGCTCTTTTAGGGTATAGGGCTTTAAAAGAACTTGTACCCCTTTTGCTTTTGGTAGGGTCATGAAAGTTTACATGATGAGGAACGTGCAAACTGGGTTTGGAAATCCATTTAACTATGACTGGCATTTTTTAATTTACTGCTGGCAACATCCATTTGACAACTGGTATTTGTGACAGACACAATAATGCATACCAGTATCTATTGTAAACTAGTATATATCCTGCCTTAGTGCTGGTTCATCATCAGAGCTACATTATTGTTAATATTTAAATCAATTATTTAATGTTTACACAATAACACTTTCCCTTCTGTTGATAAACCAGTATTGAAGCTAGGTAAGTACAAGTTGAATGCTCTCATTGGACTGCCGTACTGCATATATCACTGTCACTCTTTTAGCAAGATAGTCAATAGGTACAGGAGGTACTATTGAATTAACTTTATTTTCAAATACTCCACACAGTTTATACATAGCAAGAAGTGTTTCACCCTGGTAACTTTCAGAATACTGTGGTGAGCAGAACTGTTTTCTCTTAAGACAGTAAATGATTTATACCAGCTAGTCTATGGTGATCTCACCCTAATTAATATTTGTCACAGGGTTTGCTGAAATCCTAGCCACCTGAAAGGATAAAGAAGGAAGAACAATTCTGTACCTTTAGGTCTTCATGTAGTGTTGAGAATAGTTTAAGACAAAAACTATAACCTGCCCGAGTCATCCATATCAGCTGTAACTATGTCAATGGTATAGAAACACTGTATTTTAGTTTACAGAACACATTCTAGTATTTTTTTTCCATGTAATGTCTACATATAAAAATGAAGAAACTTGATTTAGTTTGTAGTGAAAACTTCTGGATTTTTAACTGTACATACTGAATTGAGTGTTCCTGCTTTTTAGTCAGTTAAAATGTATTTTAAAACCTTGAAATTAAGCTAACTTAAGTCTCAGACTTCACTCTGCATGCTTCTATTTGGCCCCTCTGAAGTGGGAAAAAAAATTGTATTGATTACATTCTTATATTCACCAATTTCAGTAAGACCATTTATGCTGTAGTTTTAAGGTTTTTTGTTTTTTTTTCTGTTTACATAGTTTAGTCTCATCCATTTTTCCAATAGGCAGTTAGCATTTGCAGTGTTTCATATTTATAAAACTTGCATTTTATTTAATTTGAGAATGAAAGTTTGACTATGAATCATGATTTTGTATGTAGATGGTTGACTTAGTATTTTGTACCTTTCCCAGCTAACGTGAACTGTTTTGAGAAAGTGACCACTTTCCAAGTGGCAGAAATCTTACTTGAGCAGATCACTGGTGTTTTTGTTTTGTTTTGTTTTGTTTTTTTTCTTTCTGCTGGAAAATAGTCAGTACCACCTTAAACTTTTCCAGCCGGTTCAGCTGGCTGCCAGCTTAGAATACCAAGGACTGAAGGACATTTGACTCTTATTTTTGTATTTAAATGACATGAATGTAAAGGGGATGCTCAGGGTTGTTTTGGAGCCTGTTGAATTTTTATCTTTTTTTGCCTGTGATTTTTATTTTCTAAATAAATACTTCATGTAGCAATCTTGAATATGTCGAGAAGGAAAATGCCAAACCATTTTGGTAATAAAGTTACTAGTTAAGTTATGTTACAATAGGTGTTAAAGTACAGAAACATTTTATTTGTTAATTACTCTTGAAGAAACACGTGCCTCAGTTTAGATGTTTTGTCTTATCTTTTCTGCACTAAATACCTGACAGTCTGACCAATCAATGCACCTTTCCAGTGGCGAGACTTGCTTATTGTAAATTATATTGTCACAATGCAAGATTTTAGTAACTGTAAAATGGAATAAAGTTAAAAGTTTTCAGGGAATGCAAAAGGTATTAACTTAAGAGACAAAACCTTTATTCAATATGCTTTGCTTCATACTGTAAATAGCTTTTTGGCTTGTGAACATAATTGTAATCTTTCAGGTATTTTTGTACAAATAAGGGACTGATATTCTGTTTCTTGTAATTAGAAATAAACATTAATACAGTGCTATTCATTTTATATTTGGAATTAATGTCCTTTTTTTGCGGCTACAGTATGTTAATCACTGTTGACTTGATACTAAACTATTTTGGGTGGATTGCTATATGTTAAAGATCTCTTTAAGAATACTCAAAGGAAAATGCAACAGAGGGTCCTGTGGCACCTTTAAGACTAACAGAAGTATTGGGAGCATAAGCTTTCGTGGGTAAGAACCTCACTTCTTCAGACGCAAGACAAAGGAAAATGGAATCCTACGAGACTTTTTGCTACTGGCTGTTGGGCCTAATGATTATTGATAGGACAGTTTGCCATAGAGTTTCCACATTGGATAGCAATTCATTTAAACTAACCTCACTGTGTCTTCCTTTCACAAATACAGCGGGCATCTCGGGGTAATTTAAATCCAACTCCTTATTACAGTTTTGATCGCGAGTTAACGTGTCTTGTTCAGGTCCATTCATCTTCTCTGGCTTGTCCCCTGCTAATTGCTTAAAGGATTTTTGACAATCCCCTAAATTGCTGGTCCTTTCTTCAGTACTTGCGTTATTTTGTTTATAAACATATTCTCCTCTCAGACAGTTTTATGGTGCCCACTTCTACATGATGTTTGTTTTATACATCTCGATTATATTGCAGCTTAATCTTTTTCCTGTTAATCATAAACTCAATTTTCTGGTCCTCTCCACATAGATAATCCCTGAGCTAGAACACCTTGTTATTCATAGTAGAATAGTTGACTCTCTACTATCACCATAATCAGGGGTGCTGGAACTAGGGGTGCTGGGAGTGCGGCAGCACCCCCTGGCTTGAGTGGTTTCCATCATATACAGGATTACAGTTTGCTTCAATGGCTCTCGGCACCCCCACTACACAAATTGTTCCAATGCCACTGACGATAATATGCCCATAATTTACTCCTGGGGGAAATCGCCAAAAAAGGCAAAATTCTGCATATATTTTTTGTCAATATAATGCAGTATAATCATACCAGTTTCACTTACTTTGGTAATTTATTTAAACTACCATACAGAAAAAAAATCACAATAACTGTTCAGCATTTCCTAAACGCATGAAAGTTAAGTTACAAATACTTGGTAACCAAGACCCAACATTCCAGTTATAATCCTGGATTTTCATTTAAATCACATTACTTTTATTTTGGTGTTTGGTGTTCTGTAAAGTAGAAAGTAACTTCAAATTGCTCAGACTTTCACACAAAAAAGTCATACAGTTTTACTAATCATTGTCCTGCATTTTTTTTTAATGGATAAGTAAGGCCTTGGCTACACTGGCGTTGTACAGCACTGCAACTTGTTGCGCTCAGGGGTGTGAAAATGTCCCCCCCCGGCGTAGGGATACCATATTTGAAAAAAAAAGGGCACCCCCGGGGGGGGGGGGGGGGGGTGTAGCCCCGCCCCCTAGCCACTCCCTCCCAATTCCCGCCCCCCTGACTGCCCCCCACAGAACCCCCAACCCATCCAACCCTCCCTGCTCCTTGTCCCCTGATCGCCCCTTCCCGGGACCCCTGCCCCTAATCACCCCCCGGGACCCCACCCCTTATCTAAGCCTCCCTTATCTTTGTCCCCAACTGCCCCCTCCTGAGACCCCCCCCACCCTACCTGTCCCCTGACTGTTCTGACTCCTATCCACACCCCTGCCCCCGCCAGATCCCCGGGACTCCCACGCCTATCCAACCGCTGCCTGTTCCCTGACTGCCCCCCCCCCGAACCCCCAACCCATCTAACCCTCCCTGTCCCCTGACTGCCCCAATCCCTCTCCACACCCCTGCCCCCTGACAGGCCACCCCCAGAACCCCCGACCCATCCAACCCTCCCCCTGCTCCCTGTCCCCTGACTGCCCCAATCCCTCTTCACACCCCTGCCCCCTGACAGGTCCCCCCAGAACCCCCACCCCATCCAACCCTCCTGCTCCCTGTTTCTTGACTCACCCCCAGTGCGGGGGAGGGAGCGGGGCTGGCCAATCAGGGCCAGCTGCCATGGGCAGG